GAGATTATTGTCTAAGGCAAAACTACCATCTCCAAATATGTTAGTATATTGTTTAGTCTGAACTATTATATTATGTAGTATATAGTTATCATAAAAAAAAGCCAATTTGAAAGATATAAAGCTATATAGTTTCGGTTCACGATGGAATTCCATTCGCCAAGTGCATGGCTAATTGGATCATATGCGTAAGAACCATATTTATAGGAGAATTGTCCACATAAAATGGTTAGAAGTATCGAACAAACCTCTGTATGACGACCAAAAGCTTTCATGAGAATAAGAGTAATCCAGGAGTTTAATGTTTCTAAATTATTTGCTTATGTGACTTACTTACTATTGAGAAAAATTCGACTGAAAGAGAATATAAAAGTTAATCGATATCAAAATAGTTACATTTTGTGAGACTATTTGTTGAAATTATATACTTGTATTACCAGAAACCGAAAAAGAGCAAAATCACTTGTTGAAAAATTAATACTGAAATTTTAAATTAATTAATAACTTAATTAATAACTGTCTATATGCATACAGAAATCTAGTTCTAAAGCGTATATTCACTTTTATTTTATTTTTATTCATATAAAACCTTTAATTATTAACATATTGAGCGTAGTACGAGTAATTCCAATGCATCTCTTTAGGCTGTTACACAATACGAATATATAAGCAAACTACTACCGTCGTGAGTGTTTTCGAACATAACATTGGCTACCACTTTCAATTATTGTGCTGATTATGCTGTTCCTTAACTGAGCACCGCTCGCGAATGACATGACAGATGGATGAGCCATGCTTGCAAGCCGATAGCTTTATACGAGAGCACAGTGTTCACGGTTCGAGCAAAAACGTAGATTTATTAAATTAAAAAGGTTACTAAAGGTTTCAAAAAATTGAATATTTTTTATTGTTTTACTCTATTTTACAACAACTCTAGAATATTTTCCTAAATTTTCAAACTGATCCACTCAAATCTTTAAATGCGTTTCTTCGCGAAACTGTGTTATTGAAGACGGTTAGCAAGACTTTTCGAGACCTTCTCAACCGATATTCATGAAATTTTGCACAGGTCTTTGAGAAACAATTCTAAAGGACTTGGACGCAGGATTTTTTTCGATTACAACTATTTGTAAAAAAAATTTCGCGAAATATTCACTAAAATTTTAATCTTTGTTTTGTAAAATCGTCTGCCAAACGGCGGCATTGAAAATTTTTTCTTCTAAAAATTTCGAATTTTTTCGCTAATTGCGTATGTTTGTAATAATAAAAAGTTCTAATAAAATATTCCATTTTTTTAAGAGAAAAAAAAAATTTTGGAAAAAGGGCTGCTTTTTAGCCGAGGAAACCCATCAAACCCCTGAAGTAACGTAAGTCATAATTTTCGCCGTATGAAGTTCCGCTCATTTTCACCTGCTCGTATATGTATATATAACTTCACGCTTATTATTTTAACAATTTACTTACAATAGTGCCATCTTAAAACCACGGTGCATCAATTGCAGTCGTTGTCAGTGTCTACGTTGCAACGACAGCCCGGCTGCCTGTTGCAGCACATTTCAATAATCATTTATTTGACAAGCAACTTGACTTCCAGATCAGCAAAAAAAATGTGCCTTTTCAGTTCTCCTTTTTATCTGATTTGCAAGTCTTATTGGCTCGCTTTTATTGCGTGTGCGCGCCTGCAGGCAGAGTGAGAATCGCAAACATACAAACACACAAGCGGCCGCTGCAATTATTTATTCGCGTCACCATCTTCCCTGTCGGGTTGAGTGTGGCGTTCTCATTAATTACACATTACAATTCATGTAAATGATACTTTTTAGCACCCATAAACGCTTCACACAGGTTTATTTGATCAATTATAGGCTTTTAACTTTTGCCCAAGAAATTACGAACACAAATTCACATAAGCACGACATTTGCTTATTTCTTCTATAAGTATTTCAAAACATTCAAAAATAAAATTTTCTATTCATGCAGATTCCCTTCTTAATAGCACAACATGCCTGCCGCCACAAGCCTCCCACCCAACCGCAAGAGCATGTGGTGGCATACTTGTGGGCTCGTCTAACTCTTCTGCATTCCGCAATGCCAGCGTACTGGCTAATTTTGACTTATTCGCACGAATTCCTGACAAGTGACAACCTGACTGCACCGAATTGACAAAATTATCTGAAATATGCGACATTCGTGAAAACGTTCCGTCATTCTAAAACATTGAAACATTGAAACAGCGAAACAGAGGAGCACCAGAGTCTAAGACGTTTACGCCAAATGCCAAAGCAAAAGAGTCGCGGAGGCGCGTTTGTTGTTATTTGCGCGAAATATGATTGTGCATTTATGAACATGCAACTATATGGATGTGTGTGTGTGCGTGTAGTTTGGCAACGCGAGATTTTTATTTTTAGGTGACATACCCTCGGTTGGACGTCCGCTGGTTAGCGAAATATCTTGCCTGTCAATCAGTTGCCAGCGTCATCTTTTTCTTGTTTTCTTAATTGTTGTGTTGTGTTTGTTTCGTAGTCAGTTTACATATGCTTATATTTTCATGTATGTAAATTTGATTTCTGAGCGTTCGAAATAAAAACTTGCTTTTTGGACAGGTCCCAAAGCGCTTTTGAAATATTTCAATAATTTGAACTCGTTAAGTGGCTCAAAATTCCAATTGAAACATAGCCATATACACATATAAACATATATATATCTGATAATAAAAGACAATAGAAAACTGTAGGTAGGAGGACCCTGCCGTTGCAATTGAGAACTCATTCTTGGAGAGGCTTCCTTAGAGGTGTCTAGGAACCTATTTTTCAGAGTGCCAAACGAAAAAAAAAAATTTTTTTTGAATCACCCTAATGTATGTATATACATATATATGTAGTCTAATTATTAATTTTTGTTAATTATAGTATGCTTTGGCTTACAGAAATGAAATTGTTTAAATTTAAATTTCAAAAATTTCTTTCATGACAGTTATAAGGTATGAGTTATATCACTTATAAAATAAAAAGAATTATTGGATTAGATGAAAATATTCTTAGATGGTATTAGAAACTCAATATTGGATACTTGTGTACCAAATACTTGCGGAATCGCCGGCACTACAAAAGCCGATGAGTTGGCTAGGGGCGTACTTTTGCTTCGCTCACAACGAAATCGGATCGAGCTTCATATGTATATCTCCATTGCCGTCTTGTAGTGTAGAACTGGACATCTCGTGTTGATTTCGCTTGATAACTTCCTCCGTTATAACCAATAATAAGTAAGGCCCAAATAACTATTTTAAATGATATTGGTTAGCTTTAAGCTCAGCAGCTAACCGTTAGCAAGCATTGGTCGATCTTCTGAACTACTTGCTTTTAGTAAAGTTCAGCTAGCCACAATTGTAAAAGTTCTTACTGGAAATTGTCCTATAGTCACTCAAGCGGTAAGGCTAAAAATCTTGCTGGAAGCACGTGTGGAAGTTATATGGAGGAGCCACAGTTGGCAACATCCAGGTGCTCTTTCCTCCATTATCTTAATCTTACCTTTGGCGAACCAGCACACTTAGCCGAAATCGGCATTAACATATGACACAATCGACCGAAAAAGTAGTTTCTTTGGGTATTTTTTTGTTTATGAAGAAATGATATAAAAAATATGTCTAAAAGATGAGTAAGATTTTGCTTCCTAAAATTATTTCAAATCCAAAGACAAAAAAATTTATTATGGATAAAAGTGAATACTTAAGCACTAGTATAATTATTGATTTTTGAAAAAATCGTGAAGAAGATCCTGTGAAGTTTTCAAGTAAAAGGGAAACATTGGAAGTTTTGTGAGCCTATTATTTTAAGATAAAATTAAAAAAAGAAACAAAAAGAATAATGAATTCTAAGAAAAAAAAAATAAATTAATTAAACTCTTTTAAACACACTCATATGTATCTCCAAACTATTTGCCGGGTCAGCTTTCAGAGAAACACATTTCAGATTATGTACATTCTAAATAGGGGAAAAAATGTTGAAAAAGTTCCTTACAAAGATATTCAAATTGTTAATCCAAATTTAGCTACTTTTTGGTTTCTACATAATTTTGGTAGAACCGGATGTTTTCTGAGTCTTCTGAGACTTCAAAAAGTGAAACTACCGTTTAAAATACTCAAGTGTTGAATAAATTGTTGAAAAAAATATCTTTGAATGAAAAATTACTTAAATGACATTAGCAATAGTCTGCAACTCTCAAAAAATACCTTTTCATTTCAAAGTACTGGAAAAAATATGAACAATAAATATTTATATGAGGATAAAGTCGAAATTTCTGGTTGCTTAAACATCAAATAATTTTTATTTTTCATGGACTAGTACCCGGATATTGACGAAAACCTCTGCTAATCTCAAAAAGTTATGTAGCATTTATGAAAATTTTACCAAATGGTGGGCAATTATGATTATGAAGGGTTTCCAAGAAGCAAATTCTTGTACTCGACACATAAATTCTTGGAAATGTCTGCGATAATCAAAATAGTTGTTTCGTGCGTGCCAAAGTACGTTAGTAAAGCATTATTATGTCTAGCACATACAAATATTTTAAATTCCATAATATTACCTCTACTACTCTCATACTATCGCTTACCGCTTTGGCTGCAAAAATTACCACGTGCGCTTTACATTCCACTAATTTAATTATAGGTGGAGTTGCGATAATTCGATAACGACTATCTCAAGAGCAAGGCAAGTAGATTACGATGCATATGTATGTGTGTATGTGTGTGAGATTAATGAAAATAAACAAACTTGTTAGTTATTACTTTTAATTGCGGTTCTTAGGTTTGTGTATGACGCTTTTCAAGAATGTGAATATTTTTTACAAAGGTACACAACTTCGAAGTCCTTGTGGTAGGTATGTATTTATTTTAGTTTTATTGACTACAAGTTTTCTCTCTTTGCTTCAATTGTGAAATGTTCCGTTTTTGGCAATCTTTCACACATTTCCACGGAACATTAAAAAAAAAAACTCTCACTCACCTTGTGGTTTGGGTACATTGCGCTTCAACTGCATCCATTTGTACGTTGGCAAGTTGCTGGCTTGATTCGGGGATTTGTTGTGTGAGCCGGCTTGACTGGATGAGGAGCCCGGCGATGACGGCAATCCTGTGCAGTCGGGCGAGACGACTTGCTGGCTGCGCGAGCTTAAGCACGGCCCATTTGGCGAGCCATGTTGTTGTTGTAATTGCGCTTGATGCTGTTGCAAATGTTGTTGCTGTGTTTGTGTTTGCAGCTGATGCGGATGTTGGGGTGGCGCCACTGTTTGCATGTGCGCCATATTTAAAGGATGCATGCCTAGTGGCTCCATAGGAATGCCAGCATCCATTGTGTACCCACCACCCATGTGCTGATGATGCCACATTTGAGGTGCTGATTGTTGTTGACTTGCTGACATGGCTTGCTGCATGAGGGGTTCGTCGAATGGCAAGCCTGAGCCACCGCCATATGCGGAATGCAGCACAGCGGCGTATTTTTCCTCCACATTAGCGCCACCGCCGCCACCATTATTTGCGGGCAACGAGGCATAGTTGTGTTGCATTTGTTGTTGTTGTTGTACGTGCGTTGGCGCATTTTGATTGTATAAGCAATCCAAATTGGTGTAGCTTAAGCCATTTTCGGAGCTTATGATTGGCGCATCAATTGGCGCCGTTGTATTACCGTGCACAGCGTTGGACGCGGACGTCGGCGAGTTGGTGGCAGGCGGTATTGCCGCCACTGCAGCCGTTGCATAATAGGAATGTACCGAATCGCTTTCATAGTAAGAATCTGTGGGCGAATGACTGGAAGGGTGCAACGGTGTGCCCGAGGCGGGACCCGTGCCAGCACTCGAAGAAGTCGTAATGCCATATTCGGCGGCACTTGGACTGAAAAGGTGTGCGTGCGGGTACATCGATTGCTGCTGCTGTGCCTGCGACTGTTGTTGTTGTAGTTGCGAGCCAATAGCGGTGTTTTGATTGAGGACCGTTGGTGCTTGCTGCAACGAGGGTGGTGGGGGCGTTAATTGTTGTTGTTGTTGTTGCGGGTAATAGTTTGGCGACACACCGTCCGTCACATAGCCGGCATAACCCAACGGGTGTTGGTGGTGGTGCGTCTGATGGTGATGCGTGGGCATGGCCGCGGCTGCAGCTGCCGGAAAATAAGCATTGGGGTAACCGGTTGATGAGACTACAGCGGCCATATCGGCGGCGGTGGCGGCACTGTTGGCATGATAGCTGTTCTGATGATGTGGATGGTGATTGCCGTACATGCTGCTAATGTCCATCATATTGAAAAGCCGCCAAGTTTGAGAGCGATATTGAATACACACGGGTGCAAGAGTTTACGACGAGTTAATAATCAATTCACTTTCGTTTTCTAAAGTTATTTAAATGTAAGAGGCTTGCTTGGGTATACACTTTCACTTTACACGCTTTGATTTTGAATTTTTGCTATTTGTATTTGTATTTGTTTTCGCACAAATCTACGTTTTACACAAATTGGCACACAATTGATTACTAGCTAAACTTCTAATATTTGCTAACAGTACGAAAACATCATACACTGCTGGCAGTACATTGCGTTCAGCCGAACACGCTAAGCGTTTAGTTACTTAGAATTTGGAATTTAACACAATTTTTACACACTTTTCCAGTACATACGCGTACATACACATATAAGCTTCGTGTTCGGAAATGCAGCGACACGTCGTTACACGCTCTATGAGTTCTACATTGAAAATTTCGTACGACACGCGCTCACAGCACACTTTATTTTGTTAACACCGCACAACCAAATCATAACTGAATCAGAGCACGATTGCTGGCGAACTACATGGCCAGCCACGGCAACCACTAACGCCAACACCAATGCGCGCTAACACAAACATCACTGTCCCACCACCGGCGCTGATAAGCCGCCGAAACCCGGTTGGACGCGAGCTCCGCCTCTTTACGCCAAGTGAACCCAGCTACAGCGCCGTCTCTCTCTAACAGCACGTGAGCTACGTGCGTACATGCTGCGTGTGAGCGCAATGCAAGAGTGCGCACATTTGCCGCAATGAGCAGTTGTCGTCATATGTTGGCAGGGAACTCAATGGCTCCTTTAATAATGCCTAAAATCAGCAGCATTTTTTTCTTGTACGCAAATGTTTGGGTATTTGCTTTTCCAATAAGGTATATACATATATTATATAAGTATGTACAGTTGGAAATAACTATGTGTATGTTGTTTTTGTTAGCACCTAGTATGTGCGCAGTTCTTGTTCAGTAGTTTTTCTAGCTAGGAATTAGTCACTTAAGTCAAACCGGTTGTTTTGTTGTTTTATTGGTATTTTGGGTTTCGCTTGGAACGCCCCTGCGCACTTTTTTGTTGGCTTACCTTTAACGCAAATATTTCTATGACAGTTTGGCCCAAGGAAAAAGGGATAAAAAATGCTTAATAAAAAAATTAATTTGTTTAAATATTCATATCCCAGAGCATAAGTTGTGGACACGAAATTTCAAGGTGCAGCAATTGGCAGTGCGGCGGCCACGCAGTTGGAGTTCGCTTTAGCCACAGATGCTGGTCACAAGTATATTTACATATACATATTTCTGCATGTATACACACTCATACATACATATGTACATGCATATTCACTTTCCTAAATGCTTAGCTTATGATGTGAGCCTTTGTAGCAGCAGCAGGAAAACCTTACGCTTGTGTTGTTGTTGTTGCTGCTGCTTAACATGTCATGTGCAATTTACGCGTCCGACAGCTATGCCCCATGGATTGGCATTCAGAGAAATCGTTTTTTTTCGCAGCACAGTGGGATTCTTACGCATGTGCTTATTAAAGACATATATACACACATACATATGTACGTACCTTTGTACATACATGCATGCCAGTGGCTGGAATGCCGCTTCAGCTTTGGCTCTTAAGGATATGGCTCGCTCAGTTATTTGGCGGCTGTGGGCGCACCGCTTGCCTATCGCCTGCCACTTCGTCATAACGGCGATACTTTATCTCAGTTATTCCACAGACAGTTGGTGTTGTTGCTATTGTTTTATTGGTACCTACTGTTCACAGCGTCGATATCTCAATTTTGTTCCTCCTGTTTTGCGCACCTTTCAAACTTCAGTCCCAAGTACAAATATTCCCTTTTGTGCTGTGCACCGTGTTCATGTATGTTTGTCCTCTGTCTTGTGTCTTTATCTAAAGACCAATATGATTGACATTTTGAAAACTTCTGTCAGTAATTCATGCGGCTGTACTGTGGTAATTTCTGGTTGGGCTCCATTGGCCTGGATTAACATGTTTCAATCGAAGCAAGGATAAATATATAGATGTCTATACATAATTTTGTATAAAATTTATATATATGTATGTGTATTTGCACATGCATTCCAATAAATATCCAATAAAGCAGTAATATTTTTTCTTTTATATATACACTTATACAATTGCATTCAACTGTAGTGTATTGAAACCTTCTGGAAATGTTTTGAAATTCTTCGTAATTTTTTTTAGTTTTATTACAAAGTTAAAGGTTCTGCTTGTGTTTATAACGTGATTTTGGGCAAGTGACCGCGGCGGCTGGCTTGAATAAATTCTAGCCGAGAAGCCCAATATTCGACCAATTTATATTAACAAGACACCAATCGTCTCGTGCTAATCTGCGTAGATAAATGACTTTACAAAACTACAGGCCCACGACAAGGGATAATTAGATCACCAAAAGTTTCCATCAAAAGTTTCTTTAGTTGTAGTACATGTAGCGCCGTCTTGTTGGAAGCATTCTACGTCCACATCTTCCAATTCAGGTACGAACAAGTTATTTGATGGTAATATTATGACCGGCCTTCATTATTTGGAAGTGTGCATTATTATGCTTGGCAAACTCTTCTGTTCGGAATTAAAAAAGGGCAGCGTCAGTGGATTGTGTATAATATAGTAGTTCAAAAAGAGCAAAAAGGCGATGTAAAATGGTATTATATTATTCCGATATAGCGAATTTTCAGAAGTTAAAGTTAAAGATAAGTTCCCTATGATGGGATTCTTGATATGTTGTATTTACCCTAATCTGAGCTGGTTTGGTTGTTAAAGCACCAATCTTCTTTGGAATGGAAATGAACTTATAATAATTTCAAATTCAAATCAATGTAATAAATACAATCACTAATTAAATTTAGTTAAAAATTATAATAGTAGTGATGAAATGTACACAATTCAATGCTTAAACAGTCTGGGACACTAAAAAGAGTATAGCCTTACCTCACGGAGGAACTCAAAAACTGAGGACAGTATATACGTACACAAGTCTTTGCGATAAAATTCCTAGAGACCTGGAAGAAGGATTCTTTTCGATTACAACTAATTGAAAAAAAACGCGAAATTTTCACTGAAATTTAAATTAAAAAAAAAAAGATGATCATGTAAAGAATTATCCTGCCAATTTTGCATATTTTTACCGAGGGGTCATCGGAAATAGTAAAGACGACATTCATGTCAAAATGAGGATTCATAAGAGCTAACCAACAGGAGTAATGCTCGAAAATTCTACGAAATTATGAGGCGACAGACAGAACAGAACAGAAGATTTCAAGACCTGGGCATACACTTTTAGAACCCCCAGTCACTGATGCCCGGAGTAAAGAAGGCATAACATCAGGAGATGGTGAACCTGATTCCCCAATCGATGACGATAGAGCGGACATTCCATTGTCCGACCATGAAGAAATTTGAATAGAAATTACCCGTTTGTAGAACAAAACAAGCGGAGGGGGTCGATGGATTGCCGGCCGAGCTATTCGAATACGGTGGCGAAGCAATGATAAAGAGCAAGCATTAGCTTAAAATATGGTTGAATGAAAGCATGCCCCACGGTTTGACTTAACTGTTAACCGTTCAATCGACAAAAGGGAAGACCTCAAAATCTGCGTCAACTTACAAAATACTTCGAGCTGCAGAGCTGAATTGAGAAGGCACAATCTTTTGTAAGAGTGTACAGCTTTTGGCGAACGCCGATGATATTGGTATCAGCGGTCTCAACATCCGCCGTTAATTCTGCTTTCTCCAAATTGGATAAGGAAGCAAAGCAAATGGGTCTGGTCCTGAATGAGAGAAAACCTAAATATCTCCTGACATCAAACAAACATTCGTTACACTAGCGACTTGGCTTCCACGACACTGTTAACAGTTATAACTTTCAAGTCGTAGGTAATTCCGCCTATCTTGGAACCAGTATTAAAACCAACAACGCTGTCAGACTCGAAATCCAACGCAGAATAAGAGGTGTTACTTCGGACTAAGTAGGCAATTGAGAAGTAAAGTCCTCTATCGACGAACAAAGGATAAACTCTAAAAGTGACTCATTATTCCCGTTCTGCTATATGGTGCAGGGGCATGGACGACGTCGAACGTGCAAGGTTATGATGGCTGAATGGTAACACTCCAGTTTTAAAAGTATTTGATGCAGTATCTGCTGGGGGAATCAGTGGAAGAGGAAGAGCCCCCGTTGGAAATACCATGTGGAGAAGGACTGGGCTACGCCTGGTACGTCCAACTGACCCCAAACAACAAAAAGAAAGATGGAATCGACTGGTCCGCTGTTGCAAACTTGGCTACAACCGCGTAAGCGGTGCCTACGACAATAAAGTAGAAGATGTCATTTGTATTTATAATCTAAACCTTCAGAGAAATATTGGAATACAACTAGTTGCATGTTTTGAAATATAGAAAACCGCTTTAAAAAGTGAACTAAATGAAACTCCGGTATTATTTCATTCATTATATCTTTATATATAAGATATGTTCTCATTATTATCCTTCTATCTCTACAGTTTACAGTTATTTCTGAAGCTTTGGATCAAAGTTTATGAGAGTTAAGACGGTAAATAGTTATCAGACCTTTAAAATCGTTGACGTCATTTTCCTACAACCATTGACATAAAATGTTGTAGGAGAATTTTTGACATCTCTGCCGATGAAGTGACAATAATTTAATATTATATTGCTAAGTAGAATACCCCAAAGAGCTTAGTTATCAGCCTTGCAACAGCTGGTAAGTTTGTATTTGGCTTGGGTAAAGAAAATACTTCACTGAAGTTAAACCCTGAACCAAATCCGACTAGTGGCTTGACATTAATATGTAGTTTTATGTCCGCCCGGTCTTTCCGATTAAACTTTCAATGGATGTTTTCCACTTATAACATTTTTGAAGCGGAATTATATTTCAAGTCAATCGGTACAGGCGTTTCGAAGATTTTTCTTCACCGACTCTTCAAATTCAAGTTTGGGTGCCGATTTCACTAAGTCAAAAAATTC